CGGGGAAGCGCGGTGCCGCGCGCAGGGGCCCCGGCGCAGGCGGGTTGCTGCCCCCGCCGCCTCCTGCTGATCCTCCGGTGCCGCCGCCCGCCCCGTCCGGGGCACCTGGTCACCCCCTGCCCTTGCCCGCCCAGGAAGGGCCCAGCGGTGCGGCCGCCCTCCTGCCCCTGCTCCTGCTCCTGCTCCGACTGCGGCTCCGGGCAGTGTCACTGGGCAGCGCCCGCTGGGGCGGTGCGCCCTGCTGCAGCCCCGTCGGGTACTTGTTCTGAGCCCGAGATCTCGGTCCCCGCCCTGCTTTCTCTGTAGATGCCCCCTGAGCTCATGCCCAGTAGTCCTCAATAAGGAGGCCAAGCCTTGCCCTGGGGCATAAGACCCGCACTCCCCTGATGCGTGGGATAGGCCTGTCTTGCCTCCAGCTTCCAGCAGTGTTGGGCAAGGCCCCTGAGTTTCCCATAGCCTTGGTTGTTGCCTCTCTGCTCCCTGCTTGCAAAGTCGAGGGGATTCCCAGTGCAGCTGCTGAGCACAGCTCCACATGCCTCACTCACTCTCCTCTTTTTGTAGTGAATGTAAGCATCAAGAGAGGAGCCAGCTTGACAGCCCTGGAGACTGACATCCTTGTCTGCTAGAACAGGTATGGTACAGGCAGCAGCAAACCCTTGTGTCATCCTGGCATCATACCTCCATCCCAATTTTTTCAAAAAGCTTATCGGAGGGAGAGGGTGATTCAGCCCTTGGCCATTCTGCTGAGACTACAGATGCAGGAACCTGTCGCACTGTAGTTGTTGCAGTGTGGTCTTGTAACTGTGCACTAACAGCTAGACTGACAAAAACATTGCAGACCGAAAACAGGCCCTCTGTGATTGGGGGCACCTTCAGAGCAGTGTGGGGAACATAGAGAAAGAAAGCACAATTTAATCATTAAGGTGAGTCAGTTTTGCCTTAGACGTTTCTAACAAATCAGCTCTTATGTTGTCATTTGACCTTTACAGCCATGCACTTCTTGGCAAATAGGACACTTGAAACCCAGGCACCTAAAGCTGCTTTGTTAATGGGAAAATCGCAGAAATGGAGGATTTAGTGGCAAAAACAGGGGATGATGGAACCTTTCGTTACTCAAGGTGTATTCTGCCAAAACAAAGTTCTCCCGCTGTACTATGCTTTCACTGGAATGCCTTAAGGTGGGGGTGTCTAATTCATCTTGTGCCACAGGCTGGATCCAGCCTGGGGCACGTGTGTGGCAGCAGGTCTGACTCTGACCCAGGATATATGACAGTGTCAGCAGCTTCTGCAAGGGGCACATAGTGCCACTCCAGGTCCCCATGCATGCCCCATGCCACGGTTACAGTTCTAGTTTTGGCCCAGGGCATGGGGCACAAGGCAGCAGTGGCTCCTGCATGGGGTGGTAACGGTGCACCCTGAGGAGCTGGGGCAGGGGCAGTGATCAGGGATGAAGTAGCCAAAAGGGGTGACCCAGGCTGTATCAGCCCTTGCTCACTCTGATTGCTGAGGCCCCTGGGGGTCTAAATGCCCTGAATTTTGCAGCAGGCCACTCCCCCAGCCATGTCCCCCAACTTCCAGTGGATTGTCAGTAGTCTTAGGGGCCAGGTATCCATTCAGTGGAGCCGCTTTTCAGCTCATGTGCCACATGTTTGACACCCCTGCCTTAAAGTAAAGGTTAGAGACACAGGGTGCCATTAACACGTTCAGTGAAATTTTAGGCAAATTGCTTTCCTAAAACTGGGCAACCCATAGCTGGATCGCAACAGTGTTCTGGTAGGGAGAAGGGTGAACAAAAGAATCCTGCATTTGTGGTGCTGGCATTGTATAAAAATCTCCTCTTGGAAGAGATTTAAGTCCCCTTTCCTTCTCTCATACTGTGTCTGATATGCTTAACCTTTATTAATTCAGAAGTGGGAGGTGGGCTCAGTCATCCATGTGGTGCTGGGCTGCACTCCTGCAAAGCCAGTATTCTGCCTCTTCTAGTCTTGAGATTTACTTCTTAAAATACCGAGACCCAAATGTGGAATGCAGTTCATGACAAGGACAAAACGAGCACCAAGGCTATTGAATTCCTTTAGTGTAAATCCTTTGTATATCGTCAGTCTTACAGTTCTCTGTTTCTGTAGTGAAACAGTAACTTACAGGCATGTTTTAGGGCATGTCTACAGGTTGTGCTACATTGCTATAGCAACCACATGGGTCCACACGTGACTGGCAGCTACTTTGCCATAGTGGCATACGTCCCTGTTTTAGCATGCCACTACGGCAGAGTAGCGGCTAAAACTAACCATGTATCATGTGCACAGTGCAATATGGGCAGTTTACTGTGCCATGCTTTACTACTTCCAAAAGTAAGTAGTAAAGCATGGAGCAGTAACAACATCACTGTAGGGCAACGTGTAGACATGCCCTTAGGGACATTTAGCTGTAATGATTTTCCCTATAGAGACAAGTAGATGTTCAGTCACTTATACACTTCTGTAACTCAGCTAAGTACCTAGACACTTCATTCTGGCATGGAGAAATTAATTGCTGAACCAATTGGACTCTATTCAAGTAGATATCCCTTCCATTTTTTAAATCTGTAGGTTTCCTTGGTCCTGCTCCTTGTGCTGCTGCAATGAGTGGGAAGTCCTTGCTTTTAAAGGTCATTCTCCTGGGGGATGGTGGCGTTGGAAAAAGTTCCCTCATGAACCGCTACGTCACTAACAAGTTTGACTCTCAGGCTTTCCACACTATCGGTGTAGAGTTTCTAAACCGTGACCTGGAGGTGGATGGACGTTTTGTGACCCTCCAGATCTGGGACACTGCAGGACAGGAGAGGTTCAAGAGCCTGCGAACCCCTTTTTACAGAGGGGCAGACTGCTGCCTGCTGACCTTTAGTGTTGACGACCGCCAGAGCTTCGAGAACCTAGGCAACTGGCAGAAGGAATTTGTCTACTATGCAGATGTGAAGGACCCTGATCGCTTCCCATTCGTGGTCCTGGGCAACAAGATTGACAAACTTGATAGACAGGTGACCACTGAAGAGGCCCAAGCCTGGTGCATGGAAAATGGGAACTACCCTTACCTAGAAACCAGTGCCAAGGATGACACCAATGTGGCAGTGGCCTTTGAAGAAGCTGTGCGACAAGTACTGGCAGTGGAAGAGCAGCTGGAGCACTGCATGTTGGGGCACGCAATAGACCTGCACAGCAGCTCCAAATCAGGATCTTCATGTTGTTAATAGTGTCAGTCACTTAGATAACACACCCTAGAACTGATCCTTAAATGGAACAAGTGCAAATGGCTCTCAGGCATACCAGGGAATGCAGAGAGAAGAGTGGGTTGGGTTACTGACTAGAAACAGCAGTCTTTCTGTTGAACCATGTGGAGTCCTAGGTGTAAATGAAAGGTATATTATGAGTGACCCAAGTGCATTTGGATGTAGCTCTGCTTCCTCCCCTTATTCTTTCCAGTTGATCTCAAGGACTGGGTTAACCTAACAGGCTTATGAATTAAGATCAATGCTAAGAAATGTCCATAAAATGTTGTGTGCAGAGCCCTAGACATTCCTTAAAGTATTTCATTAGTGAACTGAAAAATACTCATCCCACTAAACTCATACCTTACTACCAAAGGGAAGTTTATTCAGTATCCTGTAGAACATCAAAACCAAACTGAAAGATTTTAGCCTTGGAAAACCATGAGAATATCCATACAGTAACAATAAATATGTATAGGCCCGTTTCTTAGGACTATCACATTGTGTCCTGATCTGTCGTAATCTTCTGAAGCCTTTTGGAAGAACTTGTGTGCAATGCTGAACCTGGGTCCTCCTGGAAGGTAGCATGGCTCAAAATATTTGGAGAGATACGAGGGCGAGAAGGGTTGCTGCCTACCTTGGTCAGTTCTAATTTGCCAACTCTAACTTTGCTGCATATGGATGTTACTTCCACAGAGTGACTGGCTTCTTGGTTACAGTTGTGCTGTTGGCTTTTCCTGTGGCGTAGCACCAGATGCTGCTGCTCACATCTTGGATGACTCCCGACTGGACATCATCTTCATTCATGGACGCTGACTTAGCCATATTAGTGTGAAGGACAATAGACCCTCAATGTGAACATGGGTCTTGGTACCATATAATTACCAATATATATCATGGCTATAGCAAAATTGGTGATAGATGAACAGAACAACTTTTTGATGTGTAGCAGGTTGATGAACAGACTCGTGGATATCCCTTAAAAACACCTTTTTGCAGGTATGCTGGTGAAGCAGTCCTGGTCCTGAGCACAGGCCTAGGATCCTCCATGCTTTGTGAGCCAAAAGGCCAGTGAGCCAAAGGCCACTTGATCTGAGATCCCTTGAGTTGGATGCTGCAGCTTAGAATAATTTCTCCATTATTAAATTGCTTTCTCAAGAATCCTGGAACAGAAGGGATAGTGAGTGGGAGGTAACCACTGGTGATGAGCCTCTAGTGAATTGTCTACAAAACTTTTAATGGTAGAGCTCTTCAGCTAATAGGCTCTGTGTTAATGTGGTACCTTGCTCAAGACCATTGGGCAGGTTAGAGAAATTTCCAACTGGCTGAACAGTTAAAGGAAAAAAATAGAAACACCATTAGAAATGAACCATAGACCTGCTAACCCAGGGCACTGGCCTACTTATGGTGGCCAGTCTCAAGGTATCTGTTGGGAGCCACTGATTCTGTGTTTGCTGGCTGCTTTGTTGTTTTTTTCCCTCTGTAACCTTGTAATATGTAACTTCACTCTCTCCCACATTTGTCCATGATCGTGTAATGATGACTGTCTGTGAGCATATCGGCGTCTGCCTGTGGGAGCACTCTCCTGCGCATATCTCAGCTCATTGCTGAGTGCAAACCATGAATCCCGTTGCTCCCATGTTTGTCTTTGGCCATAGATGCAGTAAGTGTAAGTCACGTGGCTCAAATGCAGCTAACTTTCTGTTCTTGCTGAGAGGTTTCCACCTTAGCATTGGCCAGTGGGAGCTAGTGGCAATCATCTAAAGGCTCCTGAACTGCAGGAGAAATGTCTTTTGCTGAAACTCAGGGTGCGCCTGCCCCCTCTCAGAAGGGCAATAGTGCATATAAGTGACCGCAACTGTAGATGCAAAGGTCCTATTTAGGAGGCCTGACTTCAAAGAGGTGCTAAATACCCATCACTCCCATCCAGGTGAATGGGCTTGTGATGGGAAGTGCATGTCTCTGGGAAATCAGACCTAGGGTGTTCACAGGATGCCCTTGCCTCTCCCTAGTTATACTTTGCTTCCTCTTTTTTTTGTGTGTGTAGACATCAAAAGGCCAGCTAAACTTACTGAAGGGCTAGCCTTTCTTATACCTGTACTTGGTAATTCCAGTGAAGAGCCTCTTAACCTGATCCTGTGTCCAGCGGTCCTTGTTAAAGGCTCAGAATATAAAAATATTTGTGTTAATCCAGTTTTTAAGATAATGTTAAGTGTGGATGGTGCAAACAATGTTAGGTTACTGTTTATAAACTGTGCTGTTGGAGCCTATCTCATCCAGGTAGGGCAGTTAAGTGGAAGCCCTATCCTTTAGGCGAATGGTTTTCAACCTGTGGTCCGCAGACCCCTGGGGGTCTGCAGACTATGTCTAAGGAGTCTTTGAAACGTGACTCCAATCAATCAAAAGTATGTGACTACCCTCACTTACAATTCAAAGGGATCCGCACCTCTATTCAAAATTTCCAGTGGCGTCTGCCAATGAAAAAAGGTTGAAAACCAATGCTTTAGTCCACACTACTTTTCTAGCCTACTTATCGCATGATCTATGTGAGCTTTGATGCTGCCTGCAAAAAAGGACAGGTACTGTGAACCAGCTGTGATGTACGAGGGAGATGCACAACAGGGTATCTCCCAGTACCTTGGGTGCATATTGATGCTAATGGCTGAATCCTGAAAGCCTTTAGCATACACAAACTGTGCATATAGGTTTACTAGCTGTTTGTATATCCTGGAATGTGTTCTATGGTATCCTCTCTATTTTAACAAGCATTAGATTGATTCTTTTTTCTTTTCTTTTCTTTTTTCTTTTCTTTCCTTTTTAAACAACATATTTTAGGTGTGTATTTTTAAACTCCATTTTTTAAAAATAGTGCAGTATTTTTATGTATTGAATTTGTTTAATTTATTTTAAACCAGTGCGCGCATAGTTTCTGGAGCAGCCTGACTCCTCAGCTCTTCATTGCAAAGTTCAATTGCCAGCTGGCATCCCATCCTTGTGACCCCCAAGCTGCTGCAATTGCCACTACTGCTAACAAACTGGAATTGTGCAACCAATATTTTCCATTTTATTTAAGCAAATAAAACCTGGCTGTGTCAAATCAAATATGTAATGTTTCTGCTTTCTTTTGTTGCTTTAAATAAGGAGCTTGAGATGGAACCTCAGCTAGAAACTGACAGTTGTCTTGTGGTAGGTAGATGGAGCAATGCCAGTTTATATCACCTGAAGACCTGACCTAATACCTTGAACAAGTGGCAGGGAACTGGAGCCAAGGTAGTGGGGTCATTTGACTGCATAAAACAACAGGTTTTTAACACTTTTGGCAGTTTCTGAATGTTTATAATATAAATAGATAGTTCAAGTTCCAAATGCTTGTTCAAGCTCCAAAGCCTGTCACCAGCTATCCACTTAGTAGTACTGTATTTCGGAAAATATTTTCTAAGTAGAAATACTCTATATCCCAACCCATGGTTGCTTACTGTCTAATTTTCTCTCTTGCTCATAAACAGTTCTTTTTCCTACTCATCTCAGAGTCAATCTCCTGGTCTCTAAATTTTACTCAGCCTGCTCTCTCATTAGAAAATTATTTTTTTTAGAAAATGCTGGTATTACCTTGTCCATCACATTTCTTCACACAGACAGGCTGTTTGTGTCTTTGTACTGCCTGCAAATAGCCATCTTAGCATTTACCAGTCAAATATTCAGCTTTCTTTTTTCCTGTGGGCCACCATCTATTTTGACATGTTTTGCCTCTTAACTAAAATTTTATGCATTTATGGAGCCTGTCATCTATATTTTCATTGGCATTCCCATTTTTTTTGCCTATAGCTACCTGACATTTTTGGTTTTTTGGCCTGGTTGCTTTTCTGTGGTTTTCTAGCCATGCTTTCTAAAGGAGTGACATTGGGTTTAAAGTCTCAGAAATGCTTTTCAGTGCAGCATTGGGAATTGGGGGGGGGGGGGTGACAGTCTCCAGTGTGTTATTTTAACTGTCTAAAATCAATTAAAAATACAACTCTAGACATTTTGCAACAAGAGAGATTCCTGTTCCAGCTGATAGGAAGGGTGAGCTCTAATGTAATGTAGAGCCAAATCTGAAGCCAGAGACTCCCTAGGTTTCAGACTGAGTTTATAAGAATACATGCTCTGGCTGGAACCTCTGTTCTCTAGCAACTGGTTCTGGTTTAAATTACTCATACTTAAAGCCAACATCAAGCCGTTAATCTTCAGTGCCCAGAAGAGTATGATTTATGTGGGTAATGTTGTACAATAGCACATACCTTCTATCCTTGCTAGCTCTGTCAGATGCAGAATGGAGCCATGTTCCCTTTTTTAAGATTGCAGTTGGCAGAGTCAGAGCTTATGATTAGTCCATGGGGTCTAGGCCTGATGGGACATGTTCTTACTCCATTTCTGTCCTGTGCACTTGTATTGCTCTTGAATACAATTTGGACTTAAATGTTTAAGGTATCTGACTTCTGAAGCTGCCAGATCCTGGTTCAGACAAACATTAGTTGGCTTTTCAGAGTTTCAAAGATTTAGCAACATAATAGAGCCAAATGCTTTGACTGTAAAGCTAGACTGCAGCTTGGTAGCAAACATTTCTAAATCCTTTCTAGAACTACTGGCAAAATAATACACCATGCCTGAGAACTCCTGGAACTCTGTCATGGTTTTTAGTTGGCCAAGTCTGCCTACTACACATGCAAACTTTTTGTTTGCTCCTTTCCAAGTCCTGTATTGCAAAGGCTGTTTGCACATAGACCACAGGTGACTTCAGCAATAACAATGGGGTTGCCCCACCCCCCAAAATGCAACTTTATTTCAGGGGTTGAGCATGTGCTAAGCAATCAAAAGGCTTATTGCAATGCAGATTTCATGATGTGGTAAAATGAATACCCAGTAAGTGTCAGAAGGAATGCTGCTGCTTGCAGGAGAAAATTTGCCAACAGTTTTCTACTGCTGCCGTCTTTCTGTGGTTTCTGAAATATTCCTTCTAGTACATGGGTGGGCAGTTATTTGGGCTGGAGGGCCACTTAAGAAGTTTGGGGGGGAGGAGGGGGCAGTTGATCCTGTCTGGCCCTGGCCCATCTGCCCTGTGCTGGGGGCGGCAGGCAGGGTCTCAATAGAGATAAGCCCAGGACCCTGGCAGGCAGGGTGTGCTCAGCCAGGCAGATGGGATGAGGCTGTGGGCAGGTGGGGAGCAGGGCAGGTGGGCAGAGCTGGGGCCAGGATTGTGAGGGTGGTGACAGCGCGGTGCTGGGATCGCTAGCAGGGCTGTGTGGGATGCAGATTGTGGCTCTGCCCTGGGTCTCAGCCCCACACTATCACCACCCCGTGGCCCTGACCATGGCCATTCTCCATGGAGACCCCACCTGCTCTGTCTGGCTTCCCTGGCACTGGGTCCAGGGCATGAAGTAAGAGCAGGATGGGGCACACACCTGCTTCCAGATGGGGGCTGCCAGGAAGCTGAGTCCGCCGGCTGTGCTGCCCCCGCCCCACTACAGCCCCTGGTGTGCCTGAGAGCCGCACGCAAGGATGGGGTGGGCTGTGCCGAACAGCACTTCTGTACTTGGAGGTGGCGGGACCAGAAGCACACCATAGCCCATCACACCTGAGCTGGGTGGAGCCAAGGGACCCACCATGGGCCATACAGAATCTCTTGGCAGGCCAAATGCAGCCTGTAGGCTGTATTTTGCACACCCCTATTGTAGTAGCTGCATGCATCTACTTTGGTTTTCATTTTAAATTCCAT